TTTATTACATCCATTTTGAAATCACTGGTGGTCCCTGTAATCTGATTGGCTCTAATTGGTGCGATTCATTCATGAATCGCACCATTTTTTTGCTCTAAATCGCATCATTTTACACTTGACTGAGTTTTTGACACATGACGTCAAAGTCTTTCTGTTTTGCATACAAAATAAGATGTAAAAGCGTTTCCGGTTCTGCTTTTTATTTAAAAACCGGCTCAGTACTGCATCAATAAAATATTTGAATTGACCAAGTCCTGTATTTGGGCGATTTCAAACTGGATGTAATAAAGTGGTAATTGAACCTCATTTCATGCAAATTTTCATCTGAAATAACACGTATGATTTCAGCCTAAATTGCACTCCACTCAGTTCAATTACCATTATCAATTGATCTGTGAATCATTCACCAATGGCCAATGACTCTCTTCTCACCAAGAAAAGTTTGAGTAAACCAGCCACAGCTATAACATCTCCAACCTGATCCAAGTTGGCTTTGCCATCTTGATGGAAGAGAACAAAATACAGTATAAACATTACTTCTTTTTGTATCAAGACCAGAGTTTCAAATTCCAATTCACCATCAGATGATGTAAAGCAAAAGTTAACACAACCAATATTATTATTAAGGACAAAATTGATACAAACGATGAGAGAGAGATTTGGTTGGACAAAAAATATCATTATCCAGTAAAACAGCAAAATCAAAGGAAAAAATCATAGCATCAAAAACAAGTCTGGCCACATTTCTGCTTCGCTTCACAAAATGGAGACTTGACAGGATTCATATTCTTTCAAGATACAAAGGCTATTTTCAGTTCAGCAGACACTGCTTTAGAAAAACAGAAATTGCAACACAGTGACTGGTAAGTTTGTTTTTCCCAGTATAAAGAGCAATTTTCAATGGAGTGTTGAAAGTAATCCACGGTCAGTGCTTTTTCTTTGCCTTACTTTCTTTGGTAATTGGCCCTGAAAACTTGCCCCACTCTCTCAACCAATCAGATTCAAAACTAAAACCAATCATCACTTAGTGAATTGTGTTTTCCTACACTTTTGACAACTTGCTTGTTTTTACTTCAAGTTCTCATTGGCTCCTAGGCCCAGTTGCTATTTGGCAGATAAATAGCTATCTGGCAGATAAGTGATAGCAAAACATTTAGCTTTATCCAACCTTTATACAACTGGGACTTGGTGAATTTTCCTTGGTTTCATTGGCTGTTTTGATTGCTTTAGTTTTGGTTTTAGGACAGTCCATTGAAATGCTCTTCAACATGGCAACAGTATAGAAATAAAACAGGATTTAGACATCACCTCTGTCGTATGTTGCCTTGAGGGACTCGACCACCTTATGATTACCACTTATTCGAAAAATTCCTTCCTGGTTTAGACCTAAGCGACAGAAACAAGGTTGATTAGTACACACATGTACCTCTTATGAACTGAGTTTGTCACCTGTATTGTAAGTTCCAGTCCAAGCTTTTTCTGCCTTGCTCAGGAAATAAGCATGCAACCCATTCAATATAAGTCAAAAAGTCAATATGAGTCAAAAAGTTATGTTCTGTAACTTATAGTACAGACCGAGAAAACAGGTTAGTGAGATATTTCTTATGTCACTGGGTTCAAATCTGGTAATCAGAACAAACTTTTGAATTTAGCTACAACAAAATTGACCTATCATACCATTCAAAGTACTAACTGAGAGATATCCATATAAGAAAGTTCATTACATACCATGTATATAAAGTAAGATAAGTACACATGCAAGACAACTACAAAACAAATAGTAATATCACAATTACAACCCCACCCCCTTAAAAAAAAGAAAAGGAACATGTAACATTAACTTTACCATGCTTTGTTAGGTATTCTACTATGCTTGTGATGATTGGGGGTATTTCTCTTCCTTCAGACCGCTTCAGTAACTCATCAATAGAAACCCCAAAGGTCTTGTTGGTCATTGCCGGTGCACCTAGAAAAACACAAACATCAAATGGTAAGAATTCAATAATAAATAAATAAAAAAAAAAACTGCCATTATTGATCTACAATTAAGACAATGTCAAACATATTGCCTAAGTGTATAGCATTTATTTGTTCAAACTGGTTTGATACTTTAGTCTCCACATCTTGGGGCAGTCGTGATGAATAAAAAACAAAGAAAATTTTTTTTGATACACAGTATGTTTCTTCGAATTTTTTTTCCTGCAGGGAATCTAAAACCACAACCACAATAATGGTTTTAACCACTATAAAGAGTTTCTAAAGCTGAAGTTACAACTACACAAAGCCCTTTTTAAATGGCCTATACATAGAAGCAAATTTATTCTTCACAGTGGATTACAAAATCTAAACAGATATACTGTAAGTTGCATATGTTTTGGTATAATAACAAATAAGAGATAACAGGAATTGTCAAGAAAAAACAGGAACACAAAGAAAAACAATGCTGATGCGCAAATTTACCTAAAATCAATTAAGTTTACAATAATTAGATAGGAGGTTGATGGAGTAAAGGGCCAAGAAACATTATTTCTACTTCACTTCAACCTGAAACACAAGGTACTTTTCAGGAGAAATTTACCAAAATTGTATATGCTTTGCAAAATTTTTAATTTGTGAGCATCAATATGACCTTGTATAAATTTATCACGAGGGAAAGATACAATCTTTAGAGAGTTGCACTTTTGTGGACGTTTGAAAAACTGTTATGTTTATAATATTAAATTTTGATGGTGTTTTTAGCTGATTACATCTATCTATTTTTTAATGAAAAGTCATCTGTTACCATTAATTCACAATAACATTCCATTTATTTTTCTACCTCTTCCCTAACCACAGAGATCATATGATTTGCTTCTGCTCTCAAATATTACTGACATTTGAATTGAATATATCTCATATTACTTTTTTTATTTCATGTTCATAGCACTACATAATTAACGTGATTCACCTAGGTAACATTTGCTTACAAGTAGCCACTTGTCAGACAAGGATGATACTAAAAATACTTGCTTCTACTCAAGAAACAAGATTAAAACGATTCCATAAATAATATCTTTGGTTGATATTCTTCAATTGGATAAACTGAATTTAGAAAATGTTACTTACCACTACCTGTACTTCTTCTTTTTGGCAAGGGTGAACTGATTTTTTTTTTCATCTTTGCCATTCTTGACTCGGAAGTCTGGGAGACAGAGAGTTGATCGGAGCCCTAAAGGACGAACAATCAAGGATTTTGTAACAGACTTCTAAAAAATTATCATAGCAAATATTATTTCTTGACAGGTCACTTTACAAGGTTTTACTTGAGAATAACAGCTAAAAGACCTAACACTTTCAAAATAAAAGAAATTCTTCCATTTACCAAGCGAAAAAATTTGTAGATCATTTGAAATTTGTTTAAACACGTAATACATAAATTCTCTTATGGAACTGCTCATGACAGTCCATCACATGACATGTCAGTGATACTGTCAAACAAAATGTGACCAACTTGCATGTAATATTTTAGAGATCATTGTTTATTAATGATATCAATATTCTGTAAACTCCTCTATCTGATATATTGTAGTTATTTTCAAGCTTTAACACGATTGACAAAATGTTCACTAGAAAAACCTAACCAACAATAAAGGTCAACCATTTTGGTTTCATCAGACAAAGAGGTGAAATTGACATTTCACACAGACATCTCATGCATTCCAATTTCCTGAGTCTTAAAAATTCCCAGTGCATTGAACCAAAACAATCTTCCCTTCCCCACTCAGACATTGTTATTTTGCTCATACTTTAACAATCCCATCATTCAGCCAATTCACTTTTTCACAAGAAGATCTGGATATTGGGAATACAATTCTTGCTCTCAAAGAAATTAAGTTTTGACCCTTTGCACCAACAATATCTGTCCTTAAATATGTATACAACTGTATTCTAAGCAGCACCTGTTCAGCTTTTCAGATGAGAAGAGTATTTCAAAGACTACAAAAAATAAATGGCTGGAATCCTAAAACATTACAGACATGTATTTACCATTGATTGATTTCAATTTTAATTTCAAAACACTAATAAACTCCCACAAAAATCCCGAAAGGAGGAGTTAAGAGCAAAAATAGTTCTTGGAAGAGAAAGTGTATAAAAAAATTATGCAATAATAAATTGTGTGATACAAACTGCATTTGGTGGGAGTGAAGCGATTATGGCTGAAATATCACAGGTATGATAAACTGCCTTTCCTTAAATACATGTAGCCATGTGCATTACACTGCAGGCCTAACAGCTCACCAGCAGAAATAATGGCTACAGTCGGTAAAGACAAAACAGACGCATCTGGTCTTTAAATTTGAAAGGCAAAATGAAATCGCATATTGCAATAGAGTAATATTCCAACAATTAAAATTGAAAGGTCCGAAGGGAAGTCTCTTTGTCCAGATAAATAGAATAGATGTTATAAACACGACAACCAGAAACTTAAATCGCTTTAATGTAGTGCAGATAATTGTTACTGTCCGAACAAAATACAACGTTAGCACACAGCTCAGGAAATACGATTCTGACCACTGTAAAGCTATAAGGAGCATTTCGGTTTACTATTAATATTCACGGCCAAGAACGGGAGAACGCGGAAAATATTGTGGGATTATGTATTCGTTAATCTTACCTGCTGATTTCTCACGGAAACGCTTGACTCTGAGGCGCATATCAACATCGGGCGTATAGCCTGTGTAAGACCTGTTTCTACACTACGTTGTCGGTTCACCCCTCCTTCCCTCTGACTCATAGATCCGTGCTTCCAAACTTACATTCAGCGTAATAATGCGAAAATAAACAGCGAATAGATCGACCATGCGAGGCTGCAACGATAATGCACCGTGGACCACTGAAAAGATTCCTTAATAGAGCTTGTCAGATTCTCATGTTAGACAGAATCTTTGTGAATGTCAATTAAACTAGTTGGATTTTACGACACAAAACCATTGCAAGTTTCTCCTGAACTGTTGGAAACTGGCATGATCCCGCTCAAAACTTTTATGAAGCAGTCACGTACTGATTAAAGACGTAGCAGTCCGAAGCAACTCGAGTCGTTGATGCGATTGCTGACGACCTAAACAGAAAATTAGGGAGCTAAAGTCAGTTTTAATTATATGACAGAGGTTTGCTTCTATGTTTGCAAACAACACAACGCCTTTATCAATTCTTATGCAAACAAAACCTAACAACATCTCCTGAGAGTGGTCGTAGATTTCCCTGTCATTGATGAAGTCGGTCTTGAAAACGGTATACAGAATAACAACAGGTAATTAGCCCAACTTGCGATGATCGTGGTCAAAGTGTTCATTTTACATACCTTTTTGACGAAGAGTTTCATAGAGCTGCAGCATTGGAAAAGTAAATAATGATCCCTCTAAAAGGACGAATAAATGTCACTGGATAGTCATTCAGTCCGTTGTTTTCAAACGCTTCGGGCCCAGAAAAAACTTCTTTCTCGGAACTTGCTTGGCTGAGACCGCTTTCCTCAGTTTTTTGTTTAAAATAGGGCAGGTGCTTATAAATCACTTCTTGAAAGTGCCTGGAGAAAACCCGCGATATTCGACAAAGACGGCTCCACCACTTAATTCTTCAGTTAACTATCTGAACTTGTTTTGCTTAAATTTTTCGTGTAAATACAAGCGCACATCAAAAGAACCAATCAGACAGTGGAATTTCAGTCACATGGAATATCCCATGGATCATCTCGGGGAAATTTGAGGCAAAATTTATTGTCATTTTGTTCAGTGATTTAGTTGTTACAATCCTCCTTTTTCAGGTTTTCAGAAATGTAGTTCCAGATATTAGGTTAATGATTATCTAACTAATTTCACCCTTTATTTCTGAGCTAGTAGGCATTCTGCAATCCAGTGCCAGGTGACAGTTATGGGGTCACGTTGCAAGGGATCCTATGCATGTTTACAAAATTTGCGTCCTTCTTTGAGTAAAACTGTTCAAAATGATCCCAATCTGTCTCTTATGTGCTCTTCTGAGTATGATATACCACTACTGTAACACCACACTATGTTTGTGACCGCCGTATCATGTAACTAGGGGCTCTCAGAAAAGAAATTCTTTCGCTCATGCGCTTGCGTAATTTTTACAAACGTCACTTCCGGTTTTAATGCCCGGCTCCAGACTTACTAGTCTTCCAAACATTCTTAATATTTATATTCCTTTGGACTTCAAACATTGAAATATTACTTGGTTCCTTTTGGTCTAAATCAGAGTCATGGCTCAAGTTAGCAACTCCCGACTGAGGGACTCCCAAGCTGTAAGTGTTTGAATTTTGTTGTCTCCCTCACCTTTTCAGTTGTAGATCTTCTTTGTAAACACTTCGCGTTATATCTATGGTAGTGGAATTCGCTTCCATTGCTTGAAGTTTGAAAATCGAGATTGCTTCGCGACTTCTATTCTCTTCTTTAGTCTAAACTTCGTGTTTGATTTCCTCTGAATTAAAAATTCCTTCTCACATATATGCTCTCAGTTGTTTGATATCAGGAAAGGGGAAGGAAACCTCCGTGTAGTAAGCTTAAACGGTGCATGTAGGCTTCTTGATGTCTGGTGTTTGTTTGGATTCGCCTGTTCGCCTTGTTGGCGAGGCATTGAACTTCTTTAGGTTTAAATCCTAATCATGACGATTATGCGTAAGCCTGAAATTGTATCGAATATTTTCGGCTAATTGTTAAATTCTTTTCAAATTTGACGGGAAAACTGGTAAATAAGCTTGATTGCGATTGAGTAAACTCTCGTTGGAGTTTCTTTCTTCCCTCAATGAAACTTCATTTTGCAACCACCAACGATCTCAATAATATTAACACAAACTTATACTCTTTTCTTATAAGTAGGTGTAATTAGAATCTCAGTAAGAGAGGTAAGGAAAGAGAAAGCCGAACGAACCGTAGATATTTGAATTTATTTGCCTAAAGGTGTATACACACCTTTTTCGAATAACTGTTTCAACCGCTGCTTCGAAATTTGACATTATTTTTGTCGGATTAAAATGTTATCCTTTACAGAGTGAGCGGCTAAAACCAGCTTTTACACAGCTGTTACGAAATACCAGTCATTAGAATATCTTAATCCTTCTATTTTTCAGTTTAATGGAGGTTTTGATTATGAGCTTTCTTTGAAAAAAGTCCCGATTGAGTGTACCTTTGAATTGATTTCAATAGTTCCCAACAATCACCTTTTATGAAATAGAAAAATCTGTAATCTGTTGAAAGATTTATTGTGGATTTCATTAAATATGTCAAATTTGCCCAATCTTCTTGGTTGGGTGTTCATGGAAAAGTTAATTGGAAACCAATGTGGTTATTTTTGTGTAAAAGCATATTTACCAATTTTGGAGGTTTTGTTGTCCAGGGTCATTTCCTGGCTAAAGTTACATAGTTAAATTGAATTTTGTAATAACTGGTCTAAACTTAAATATTTTTTTCACCTTTCTGATTGACAAAACCAGTATTTGTATTATTATTGCAAGGGTAGTTGCATGATTCCAATCAGCTATCAGTCGTATGATCAGTTTGGAATAAAAATGGTTGTTTATACCTCAAAAGTAATAAAACTCAAGCACAAATCTTTGTTCATGATAAAATTGGTGTAACAATCCCAATATTGCATTTTAATTCCACATGATTAAATGCGTTTTGAATGTGATAAACTTAACACAGCTAGTAGAGAGAATATTACCTACTGTTCATCATACCAGCTGTTATCATTCTACTATGAAAGCAGATTGGTAAGAACTCTTCATTCAGTCAGTAGAAAAGACTTTGCAATCTAGTCTCTTCCTGTAAGTATCAGTTGTCTTGGTATCCACTGCAGATAGAGCCATGCATGGTAAAGTGAGTGCAATTTTATTTGTCTCTTTCAGTTGCATTGTATGTGGGAGTGAGCTTTTTTTTTTTTTTAAGTATGGCACTTCTAAAATGGAAATTAATTTGCAATGGGAAACATGTACATCTGGGGGTGTCCATTCTGCAGAAAAGATTAGATAATTCTCTGATTATACACTGATCAACTGTGTGTAAAATTCTCAGGTTAAATTTCAATGGTCTAAGCTATTTTTACTCTTAACCTTTTCATTCCCAAGACTTCAATTATTGTAATTGTCCTTTCTATCTGATACTTTTCTTACAATGAATACCAAAATTATTTGTACTTATTGACTGAGTTTTGTTTGGCCAGATGGGAAAAATTTGGCTGGATGTTATCAATGACAAGGTCTATGCTTTGTGAGCAAGAGTTCAACCAAACTCGATCCAGCTTGACTAAATATTGTCAATAAGCACATTATCATGTTACCCCTTAGTGATGCAAATTTCTTTTCAACCTAAATGAAACTTACTTGCAAACAAAAGGGGAGTGCAAACTGAACAATTGAATGTACTAAAAATATTATATGATAAAAACTTTTCCTTTTCTTCAATCTTTAAACACAATTTGTTTTCTGATGCATTTCAAACTTAATTGAAGTCTACAATTTTCATGCATGCCCTCAGAAATACAAAAGAGCCATCATGTCATCCAGGGCTGGAAGGCTTTCTCTGGACTAGCCTGCTTCACCTTTTCCTAACACTTGTCTGCTTTCACTATATTGGGCATTAGGCGTGCATGGATCATATGATAAGATTCAACCCTCCAATTTGATGCCTTGATTTAATCAATCATATCAGTTTTTGATGAAAAGGAAAGAGGGATCATAAAATCATTCACACCCAACCCTGACAGAATACAAGTTTCTCCTTACCATAGCAATATATTTTCAAATTGGAAAGGCAAAATGAAATCACAATTTGTAAAGGGACAAATTGTGATTTCAAAATTGGCATAAATTATGTGATCTCAAAATTGTGATTTCAAATTGGCTTTTCAGGGCCAATTCCTGGGAATTGACCCTGAAAAGCCCCCATGCCAGGAAGTGGTCAACTAACGTATGTATGTATCTATGTATGTATGTAATTATGTAATTATCCTTGTCAGTACCACAGGACAGTTATAAAGAAGAGTTGGGAGAGTATACATGCTGATCTTAGGGTTTAAAGGGTGAAAGTGTTGGAAGACATGAAAGTGTCGCTACTAACAGTGACTTCCTACTTTAGGGAGATGATCTCAACTTGTTGAGGAGTGATTTGGAATTTGTGAAGGGCCATTTTCAAAGTGTCAAGTTAAATCCTTTTCTGAAAATGGAATCATTCAATGTGTTCCTAAATTATCCTACATTTTTAACAGGAACTACAAATTATATATATATGTATATGCATATAGGTATATATATATATATATGTATGTATTAGGAAGTCTGTGTTTTGATTTTACCATGTTACCGTGCTCGATACATAAAAGTAGAGCGCAATATATTTTGAGTTAGAAAAATGCAGACTGTGCTTTCATCCCTACAAGCCTGCCTTGTGATTGCTCACTCATCAGGGGATTCTATAGTTAAGAATATTCGTAACCATCATTAATATACTTTACAAATTTGCGTAAGAGGCGTGGCGGTAAATTTAAATGCTTTGTTCAATTAGTAACGCTTTGTTTCTGTGGCGGCATGAGGAGACAAGTTCATTACGTTTATCGAGTGATGATAGTTCAGGTCGGCAGACGATAACTATTTTTTCTTTTAGGCAGAGGTTGTGTCCTTCACTTGTGCTGTTGTAGGGTGATCTTGATGAAAGGATGCGCCATGAAATAAAGTGGTCAACGTTATTACTGCCATGCTTYTTATGCAAATTTGCAAAGTAAATAAACGATGGTTACGAATGCACTAATCAATAAAATCCCCTGATGGGTGAGCAATCAGGAAACTGGCTTGTAGGGATGAAAGCATAGTCTTTGTATTTTTCTAACTCAGCATATATTGCGCTCTACTTTATGTATCGAGTACTGTAACACGGAAAAATCAGAAAGCAGACTTCCTATAAATCCAGTTGTATATAGATATATAGTATATATTACTATATATCTATATACAAGTAAATATATTTAAATATATATATATATATGTATATTATATATAACAAGTTGATCTGCAGAACTACTTTCAGAGTGCTCAATAGTGAGCTAGAGCGTGTTATAATTGAGAACGGAGTGGTCAACTGAAGATTTGGCTTGGCATTTATTACTATTTAGTTTCGTACTACACAGCTTGTGTGGCACTCGTCGGATAAAATCGCCAAATGCGAACTTAAGTAAATTCGCATTTGGCAATTTTATCTGACGAGTGCCACACAAGCTGTGTAGTACAAAACTAAATAGTAATAAATGCCAAGCCAAGTCTTCAGTTGACCACTCCTTTCTCAATGATATTATATATATATTTATTAAAAACTGGATCATAGGATAATGCAATTCAAGACTTTTTATTGGCTTAGCCAGTATGGTATATGAGCCAATATACCATAATCTAATATCTGTACATTGTAACGTCCGGTTTCTTCTTACAAAATAAGTCGGGAAGATTTGTCTGATATCTTGGGGGCGTTTTTTTTAATAAAACAATTATTCCACTCGTGCTTGTTGGATATGAGATGATTATAGCCAACTCGGCGCTACGCGCCTCGTTGGCTATCTATCATCTCATATCCAACGCGCGCTCGTGGAATAATTGTTAAATATATAGTTATAATTATAACTGGATCTATATACAGCATCATATGTTGTTAGTTAGTCGCGTTTAGTGGTAGTTCAAGAGCAATTTTCAAATCAAGGTCGAAAGTATTCTATTGGTTATGCATCGCTTTGCTCTGATTCGTCCAAATGCTTACGCCACCTCGAAAAAAACAAACAAACAAACAAACAAACGAAAAATATCCAAAAATATCTTAAATCAGTTGCACCTTGGTAAACCGTGTTTTCCTCTGCATCAATTAGTTTGCTTTTTTTTATTCGAGTTTTCATAGGCTATTTTGGATTCTTTAAATGACGTTTCTTTCTTCTGACTGAGTTACTTTTGTTTAGGTTTGACGAAATCCAATCGAAAAGCGCGCCCATGTGTTCACCATTAATGACGAGTTTCCTATTCAGCCCTATGATTATGCTAAAATTATAAGCGAAATGCATATATTAACAAAGCGATGCCTAATTACAATGTCAGTGTACAGTAACGATAAACTTGCCATTTCGGATGTAAAAAATACGTTGAAAAATAAACTTTGCCAATGGGGAAGGGGAAACGGGAGGGAGCACGATACGTAGAATGGCAGCCTTTTTGCGGTGTAAGGTGCGAGATAAATGCGATCCGAATAATATTGTAGACGTGACGTGTTTGCCAAAGCCAATGAGTTTAAATGACATGGTTCATTTATTGCTTGTGGAGAAAGGGTTAAAGTAGAACTTTTGAAGTATTACAAACAATATGTTGTTTATTAAAACTTTCAAAGTTTTGAAATTTGCCGCGTTACACCACTGTTTTCGAGCGCAACAAAGTCTAAAGATACTCTTTTTCATGCATATAATGTTAATCCCTTTGGAGCTTTTGTCTATGAATAGACACATTTTGCCGGCCAAATACTTTCCTTTTTCTACCCCATCTCTCGAGTCCGTTCTTCATTCTCCGAAGAGGCTCGGGGGGAAAGAGTGCGGGCTCGTATCCTAAACAGAGGTAGTCGAGCCTAAATTCTTTACTTCTTGAGTTTTATGCAGGAAATAAGTCACACCGCCATCTCATTTGTAGAATGAGTGGCATGAACACATAAAAAGATTTGCTTCGAGTCTTTCAGTGGTTTAAAATGAATTTCTTTTCCGAACTCGTACGCTACTTCAAATTAGACGCCTCTATTTGTAGCCTTTCGGCTTCAAGTTTCATGTTGATAAGAAATCTGATCTTTGCTCCCGTGTCCTTCTGTGATTCCTAAACGGAAACACAATACGTAAGGTTGTCGTTTAATCCACGGGTTGTGTTACAACTTGTGTTTTTTTTTTTTCCCGTTCTCGTGAATCTCGGAAAGCAGGAGGCAAAAAGCACAGGCACCTCGGAAAGGAGAGTCTTCTTCCGTATAATTTTGTCTTGTCCATGGTATTTATGTTTCATTTTTTAAGATATGTGCATCTTTTGTTGCATTCATTTTCTTTACAGTTGCAAAATTTGCGAACCATGATTGTACTCACGATCGATCGATCGATTAGAATTTTCTCTTAAATAAGTTCAATGATTTTTAAACAAGCCGAACTTATTTATGGGTGCTTTTTTGATATGTTACTTAACGTGAAAAAAGGCTAAGTTACTTTGCGTGACAACACGACTGAAGTCTGAAATGTGTCGAGTAAAGGCGGGTTTTCAGTGACATCGGAGAGGCCGGACGGGTCAGTAGAACCTGGGTCGTGACCGCCGTTTACACCGATTCTCTCACGAAGGCGAAATCGCAATCGTTATCTGGTGAATGTAAAAACCGAGGGAATCAGAGTAGAAACGCAACTTGTATCAGCCGTCTGTGATCTGTGGAAACTAAATTGTCAGAGTGGTAAGACGTCGTATTACCTGAGAACTCGCACTGTGATTGGTCGGTTCGGTTACCACTGATTGTGACTCCGACAACCTAGTTTCCACTTTGTAATAAGCGTCGGAGTCATAGGTCGCATCTTTAGAAAATGGAACCGTTCTCATTATTCCGTCAACCTTATGACTCTGCTACGACTCGGATTTTTTCATCATGTCGGAAGTGCTCTACGACTCCATCGTAAGTGAAAACAGCCTTCAGAGTCCAGATTGGATAGCCGCTCTTTCACAACGAGCGAGCGTCCTCGAAATGTTTCTTCTCTTTAAATGGTTTCATTTCGCTTTCTTTAGCGCGTAATGTTATTGTCAATTTGTATCTAATACTCTTGGTCTTATTTGACCATCTACGAGTGTATAAAACTATCGAAGTTTGAGTAACGGCCTAATTAATTTTTGTGCTACAGCTGAATTCGAAATTTTTGTTTTGTATTTTCGTGAAATTGCCAAATTGATCACAAAGCCAAGGCTCTTCTATGGTCCTCCATGCAAAGTTTCTTTCTTGAATTTTGGTTTGGCTTCAAGAGAAGACTTATGCTTGCTTGTTTTGCTTGACTGCTGACCAAGTGAATGGACGAAACCAATCTCTGTGTTACGGGTGTCGTTATAAATCTCACGAGGGAAGGGTGGGTGGGGAGGAAGTGGTACAGGAACATAACCAAACAAGGGAAATTTATCACTCCTTTGAACTATGAAAAGGTCCACTCATTTTTTAGTTATTTACCGACATTTAGTCGAGGGAACTTAGATTCAACAGATGACAAAACGAGATTTGAAAACTTAAAGAAGAGTTTATAGTTGGCAGAGGAAAAATTCAGTGTTCATGTCGAAACAAAAGTTAAGGACCAAAATTTAATGTTGAAGGAGTGCGATGTAGATGAAGCCAATTAGCCATAGGGGAGCCGCTGCCTTGTCTGACGTAAAGGTTGTGAAACACAAATCTCCCAGATTTTTTTCGAGAAAGACCTCCATAAAGTCGAGTTTGTTAGAGTCAATCGATTATTTTTGCTGGGTTTAACAGTAGTTACAGGTGCGCCGGTACTCGTGATCGAGACGTTTAGTCGAAATTGTTTTGAATAACAGCTTGTTTGTCTATCTGTGCTTTTATCCGGTTATTCTTAATCTTTTTTTTTTTTTTTCGGAAGGCTGCTTTGCTTTACGTATGATACATTTTTCACTGTTGGGCGAAACGTTATTTTTATCAAAACATCTTTAAAGTTTTTTAGCTAAAGTTACTAGCGAATGTTGGCGAAAGTTATCAAAATTTTGCGTGGGACTCGTGGCAAGAGAGAAATCATACATAAAACATTATCCAGCGCTCAGCCAGTAAGGTGCTGAGAACTTTTTTATTCGTTGGCACATTCTTGAAGCGAATTCACGGTTTCCATTGTGACGTTACAACTCCTATAACCGGGATTAAAATTTTCAAGCAAGAGCAACTTTTCCATTTTACGAACGGAGTGTTGCATAATAACGGTTTCACAACAGCGAGATTAGACATGGCTTGCGTTGGAAGTCATCAGTTTTGGTCTTCGGTATGTCTTTGCGTAAATTCAACTTCCCGCGGAGAGCGCGCTTGATGCAAATTTTGTCCATATTGTAGACACTTTTATCGACTTTTTCTGTTTTATGGCGGAGACAAGAAATGTATTGTTGAATTTTTTACTGTTTTCTTTCTCACAGAATATTGTTAAAGCTACAAACGTCTTCTATAAGGAGCACAATGTCACCCGAGATAAAAGAGGACAAGTTGTCGGTACACGAGGCGGCTTCAGAGGATGTACTGTCTGGTTTACAGGTAAACACAGCAATTTTTCTTACCAAACCCGACCGAAAGACCATTTGAACATTCTCTGGCCAGCTGAATCCTTTTCGATATCTTTTTTTTTTCTTTTTTCTCTTTATTTTTTTAATATGTCTTGAATCCATCAGTAAACTTTTCAACAGTAACGACGTGATCTAAGAATACAGATTATGTTTGATTGTCAATTTTTTCGGCCGCGTATGAAACTGTCGTTAATTGGGTGCATACGCTCGAGGGCTTTCTTTCTCAACCATAAATCTTTTCAGACATTTGACCTCTCGTGTTTAGGAGATGACTACTTGTTTTAATGTTTATCATAGGTCTTTCTGGGGCAGGAAAAACCACAATCAGTATGGCCCTTGAGGATCACTTATGTCGACAAGGTATTCCTTCGTACACACTAGATGGTGATAACATGAGAACTGGACTTAACCGTAACTTGAGTTTCACCCCAGAAGACCGCGAGGAAAATATCCGTCGTGTTAGTGAAGTTGCTAAGCTGTTTGCTGACTCCGGCATGATCTGTCTCACTGCTTTTATCAGCCCGTACGAGCGGGTAAGATATTACATTTATTTACCGCTTTAATTTTGGCTCGGTATTTTAAGTTTTTCTTGGGACTGAAAAAAAAAAAAAAAAAAAAACCAGATTTGTAAAATTTTAGTATAAAAAAAGAAACCTAGCTCGCTGAAGGAAAATAAGGGGAAAAGGCTTTTTAGGTACTTACTCATTTAAATGCGAAATGATTTGAATGCCCCAAGATTATATCTCATTTGATTGCTGAGGAGAAACTCTTTTTTTTTAAATTATATCTCATCTGAATGCTGAGGATAAACTTTTTATTTCAAGACTCACCAGCTTCTATTAAAGAAAACTTGATGTTCTCTTAAATGTGATAGATCGCTGTTTACAGTAATTTGTGGTTTAAATTGGCTCCATTTTGAATCAACCCCTAACAATCACGTCAAATTTTCGCCGTTAAAGTTTGTATCGTGGTAACATTGAGTAATTAGTTTACTTTTACCTCGCCATAGTAAATGATTGTGTCAAGAAGTTAATGAGCATTTTGCATTTAACTGTTAAAAACATTCTCAAGACTGTCTGTACCGTTACTGAAGATTATTTCCCAAGCAATATACAATTTTTTAAAGAGAACTGTTAAGATACGTATGTATCTAATACCACATTTCAAAATATATGAACTTCATATATTTTTCATTGTATCAGAACTGTTAAGAATTGATCAAACAAGTTGTAGTCACTGAGGTACAAACCAACGTCACTCATTTTCGATAGAAAGATTTTCAAATAAGACTCACCTATGAGCGACTAATATTTAATTTATTTTGAAGTAATTTTTTTTTTCGATTGGGGATTTCTTGGCAACATCATGTGAGGAATGTATCCTAAATTTATTCCCTCTTCGATTTACAGACGCACTCGTGCCCAGCTATATATATAGATACACTCCAAGTTAATTAATTTCTCTTTTTGCTTGAGGTTAGTTAGTCATTAAATGACGCGCTACTCATAATAGAATCGGAGTGGAAATTCCGAAGCGAAACACGGCCGTCTCTTGACTGCGTAAAGGTGTTATTTTTATATTAACATAGTCACCTCAAACTAGTTCAAGAAGACTTGTAATAAGTTCACTGAGCCGAGTGTAAATGCAAGCTTTTTTATTCTAGTTTCGCGTTGGCGAATGCTTTCTACGTGGCATTGCTACCTGGATACAGTGTTGAGATTCAGTTGAACGGCTCCAACTGTTAACTTTAAAATTTGCATAATACTCTCTGTTCTGAAAACCCTCCCATAAAATACTCGAAAGAACTTTCGGATGTTTCTCGAAACCCTACACGAAAATCTCGGAGCCGAGAATGTGGCCTAAAACGGGCCCGAAAAGTTTTAGGGGGTGAAAAGTTCAGGGTCTTTTGAGAAACACACGGTAAGTTGCTGGGATACGGCGTGGAGAAAATGATTCGTTTTCTGTAACATGATATTGAGGACAGTTGGTGATAATCTTTGTCCCTCGGGGCTGCGAGATGCGACCAGTTTGATTTTGATTACTAGTTCAAATACTTTGCTCGACAAAACTGTGTACGCCGTTATGACGAAAAGTAGGTTTTTAAATAAGAATTTCCCCTTATGAATGACTTGAAAATCAAGCAGGGAATTCCAGAATCAGATAGAGCGCTTTACAAAGTACGATGTAAAATCTCAGTGAAATTGCGTCAACAAGTCATGGAGCAGTGAAATTTTTGTCTCTTTCGTAACCCAAATTGTACCATGTAATTTACAAGCTTTCGGCAAATTTTGTTTCCTTTCTCAGGATCGTGAGAAGGCTCGCAAGCTGCATGAAGATGCTGGTCTGCCATTCTTTGAGATTTTCGTGAACACTCCCTTGGAAACTTGCGAAGAGAGAGATGTCAAAGGATTGTACAAGAAAGCCAGAGCCGGCCAAATTAAAGGTTCTGTCAAACACTTAAGGGTCTTTCTTTAGTCGACTTCCTCGCTAACGATTTCTTCCTTTTATGCCGATTCACTTCTGACGGGTTTGAATGGTGTCTATTTTAGGTTTTACTGGTATTGACTCAGCATATGAGCCTCCAAGCAGACCCGAACTGAATTTGAAATCAGGAGAAGTGCCCGTGGACGATTGTGTTCAAGAAGTCATCAAACTCCTTGCAGACAGGGTAAGTAGTTAAAAAGCAGTTTTGATGAGCTGTAAAAAAACCTGAACAAGCTATTGTTCGTCCTCTCGAATCGTTTGCTGGCCATGATTTAAGTTACGAACTTTTCTGAGAAAAGTCCCGTGCAATGAAGTTTCATCTGTAGATGAAACCTCAGTATTGAGAGCAGCTGGTTAAAAATGGGGAAAAAAAAAGAAATTAAAACTCTTAAAGACACATACACATTGATTGCAATTGGTCGAGGACGTAATATCTTTACTCTGATTTACTCTGATTTACTGACATTTCAACGACCTGAAGATAAGTCACGTGATTATGACTTCCTCTGAGGACTACTCTCACACGGAAGATTGGACCACCTCATCAAATATGTTTCTCTTTTTTCCAGGGGATCTTACCATATGCAGCTTACAGCGGTATCAAAGAACTGTTTGTTCCTGAAGAAAAAGTCGAAGAAGCCAAGAAAGAAGCAGAGGAACTGCCGTCTGTTGAGCTAACAAAGGTTGGTCTTGCTTCTGTTAGGATGCATTGCGATTTAGTGTCAAAAATCCAAAACCTAAGTAAGAAGCAGCAATAAGCCTCACGCGCGAGAAAACGCGAGGTACTCCTTACGCGCGAGAAAACGCGAGCTACTCCTTACGCGCGGGAAAACATGAGGTATTCCTTACGCGCGGGAAAACGTGAGGTACTCCTTACGCGCGGGGAAACGGGAGGTACTCCTTACGCGCGGGAAAACGGGAGGTACTCCTTACGCGCGGGAAAACGTGATGGACAAAGTCGCTGATTGGTTTTCAGATTTGAATCCTATCAGTTGAAAGGGTTGGGCAAGTTCTCTTAACCTATGACCAAGCAGAGATAAGAAAACCAATGCAATGTAGGATGACTATCAACAGTCTCTTGAAGGTTACTAAAACAAAATTCAGTTCAATCACGACATTAGTTGTGTTAAAAAGTGGTAATATCTCCGCAGTTAGATCTTCAGTGGGTGCAAGTTCTTTCTGAGGGCTGGGCCACGCCTCTGAAAGGTTTTATGAGAGAGCGTGAATTTTTGCAGTGTCAGCATTTTGGACTCTTGCTAGACGGTGAGTGTTCCTTTTAAGAATCTTTCTCTCCTGAAATTTTCACTTTGAGAATCAGGCGCGCAGTTGCCTTTCATCAGGATGATGAACTTTCATTTCTGTCTGATGGCAATGCATTTGCCCAAAGATAGCGGACCAATTTGTCTCCACATTTTCGTTGCCGCGGCTATTCATAAAAAAAGAAAAAAAAAAATTAGTGGTTACATTTTCCGCCACGATGATAACTGCAGGTTATTGATGTCAGATGTTCTGTTACTCGTAGAGGGCGTGGTCAATCAGTCCATTCCCATCGTGCTCCCTATTCAGACCGCTGACAAGGAGAGACTGGAAGATAAAAAAGCCTTAGCTCTGCGATACGAAGGAAAACCAGTAGCTATCCTGAGAGATCCGGAATTCTACCCTCACCGCAAAGAAGAACGATCGGCCCGTCAATTTGGATTAACGCATGAAGGACATCCTTACATTAAGGTAACATACGCGTTGCATGTATTATTACGATATTTTTGGCTCGCTAAACTTGGTCTATTTAGATGAGAAAGTCGAAGATCACCGCAATATGAAAGGAGAATCAATGGTTTATTTCATTTAATTTTGTTTATAGATGATTTATGAAAGTGGTGATTGGTTTGTTGGTGGAGACTTAGAGGCGCTGGAAAGAATCAAATGGAATGATAAACTTGACGAATACCGAAAGACTCCGAATGAACTCCGAGCTGAATTCCGACGACGCGATGCTGACGCAGTGTTTGCTTTTCAACTTCGTAACCCAGTACATAATGGACATGCGTTGCTTATGCAGGTAAGAATGGTAATATTTGAGGGAAAAAGTGAAAGAAGGTTAAAAGAAGCGAAAACGTCGATTCCAACTGAGCAATTAAAAATTTAGCAGAAAATCGCCATTAACTCTGTTTTATGACGGGGAAAAAAGAGATGACAGTTGTGAACTCGGCTCTAGATTGCGTTACCTATTAGCGACTCTAAATTTTGTAATATAATATCAAAATGTCACGTACGACAAAGGAAAATAAGGTGTGTGGGAACATGGAAGTGGTATTTCTTTGATGATTTCAGAACCTTGTCCTTATCATTTTAATCATTTGTAGGTGTTTTTCTTCATTAAATGTGATTTTTTAATAAATGATAATCATTATAATAATAACGATTAAAAAAATTAAAACCATTCTTAGGATGTAGTGCGGACCCTAAGAGTAGAATATAGAGAGAAAGCTGTGAGCCAAAAGCTTTAGAAGTAAGACCAGCATCTGGAAAATTTTGCAGAGAGTTTAGACGCTCCTCCTTTTTGCCACCACAGTTGTTACAGAATAAAAATTCCTCGTTACAAAGATAATATGATTAATCATTCCATTCCTTGAACCCAAAATTTTGATCTACTACTTTCCCCTCAGGACACCCGACAGAAGTTACTTGACAGAGGATTTAAAAAGCCAGTATTATTACTACATCCCCTTGGAGGGTGGACTAAGCAAGATGACGTTCCATTACCAGTACGAATGGCACAACATCATGCTGTAATGGAAGAGGGTGTACTGGACCCTGAAAACACAGTCATAGCTATATTTCCCTCACCTATGATGTACGCTGGTCCTACAGAGGTGGGTATTTTGACGAGGCTGGGTACTCGCGCGACGAGGCACGTTTTAGTTGAATTTTGTTGGCGGTGCGAACTCTCACAGGAAAAGCCTGGAGATGCGCTTAATCTTCAAACTCGACACCAATCGTCTGCGCAGCCTAAATTACAACGTCCGCACAGTAGGCCGTGCGCACACCATGACTCGTTGTTAAATTGTTATTTTCGGAATTCAATGGAATTATCCTTTAAAATGATTTAGGGCCAAGCCTGAAACGAGAGTACTTCTCACCGAGTTACTTCTGGTTGTTACAGGTTCAATGGCACGCGAAGGCGCGTGTGGCAGCTGGGGCAAATTTCTTCATTGTAGGACGTGATCCTGCTGGGATGCCCCATCCTGATCCCAATCCAAAGAGGGATCTTTTTGATCATTCACATGGCAGAAAGGTATGTTTTCGAGAAACGAGAGTGACTCTAAACAGTTTTAGACTGCGAAGAACCATGTTAAGTGTAAGAGTTCACGACGATACCTTGTCTTAGGTATTGCTAATGTTGCCAATTTCGACCAGGTTTGATTTGCGTAGTTCTTCCCTACTTTTTTTGCAATTATTTTAGGCTAATTTTACTCGCTTTCTTCTTTTAAAAATTGTTTAGCGTCTGTTTTCTTCGATTATCCCCGCCCCGCTTTGTACGCAGCCCAGAGGAGACAGAGTAAGGTCCCTGATCCAAGTCTTGCGAGACGTCTGCATAATGGCTAACTTGCTTCGATGTTCTTAAGCCGGCGACACACCTGGCGATTTTATTCACCCATCGCCCTTTTCTATGTTGTTGAGATCTGTATTTCCCATTCAATGTCTTATCTCCCTTCTCTTCGGTCTCGCTTTCTTGTGACTGGACACGTGACGCGCATAATGCTAGATTATGGCTTACTGGTGATCTTGTTATGTACCTAGAGGTCCCCATGGATAGTGAAGGGGCGTCTGACCAGTTCACGTGAAGTGGTGGTTTTCATTCATCCCAGGGACTTAGTCTGCGTTCACACCATTTTGCGTCAGTGCCAGGACACTGACACAAAATGGTGCTGTGTTCAGATAATGGGTACCTTGATATCATACAAGTAATCAGTGGCCCGTTCAGTGCTGGTACAGGACACGGTGCCCGAATTCTGGCGTGGGCACACTTGAAAAAAGGTGTTTTCACATGTTGCCCATCAAGTGTGAATGCAGCCTTAAACAATCAGTGTCATTCTTCAGCTTTTATGATACGAAGCTCAAATATTCTTTGGTTTTTCCAGGTTTTAACTATGTCACCGGGACTCACACAGCTAGAGATTGTCCCTTTCCGTGTGGCAGCGTACAATACTAAAGATAAAAAGATGGAATTCTTTGATCCTGAGCGAAAGGAAGAATTTGATTTCATTTCTGGAACACGTATGCGTGCATTGGCGAGGGCTGGAGAGGAACCTCCGGATGGATTCATGGCGCCAAAAGCGTGGAAGATTCTGTCCAATTTTTATCGTTCTCTCAACAAGAATTAGTGATTGCGTCATGTACGCTCAAAGAATGGTAGTGCTTTATATTACGCTACAAGTATAGCATTTGCAACAGCCTTCGATTTTACTTATTTTAGTCAGAGCAGAAATTGATTTTAAGTCTGTCGTGAATCGATATGAAACCCTATCTTAAAAAAAAAGATTACGAAAGAGAAATTTCTTGCACTAATTTTCATTTTTCACCAGACATTCTCGTGCTTTGTTATAGACACCTCTGTAGTAATGGTTTTTCAAATTCGTGAAGTCTTTCAGAGTTAGGGTGATCATGAAAGTTCAGAACCTCATCACTGAATCAAATAATTTTGCGAACTCTCAAAACCGCGTGCAAATACTGAGGGCTCAACCAGACCCAACCTCATTCACAAGCAGAACCAGAATGTTTTTTTTTTTCAAATGAGCCGTCTTCAAATCGATTTTCGTCAGACTTAATATTCTCAAAGAACCTTTCCATTGTCAGTGAAGTTGCCATTATCAAATAACGAGGAACTTTTCCTTGGGTACAGTACATTAAATCAGTAGTCCTTTATTTTCCATACAGTGATGTTCATTCGCGCTAAATTTTTAATGTTTTTCAACTCAGGTGGAATTATCACCCAGTTACTTGTAGTTATTGTAGTTAGGTTTTCGTTTTTCAATTTTAAACACATTTTTCGTGGAAAGTTCGAGCCGAACTCTCGTACAAACTTTGTGATGTCTTAGTAAATTTGAAGCGATATTCAATATTTTCATCTTACCTCAAATGATTAAGTCTCCTTTCGTCTCTTAATGACTTCTTCACTGTTAGTGGTTTGCACTCTTCTCACCCCCTTTACTGAGCCATGTCTCTGTTTTCATCCAAGAGAACGTTTGCTAGCGTACGACCATAGTGTATTCTCTGTATCCAGTTGTTTTTTCACAGTTAGCCTAAGCTCGACGTGTTCGACGTGTATTCTCTGTATCCAGTTGTTTTTTCACAGTTAGCCTAAGCTCGACGTGTTCGACGTGTATTCTCTGTATCCAGTTGTTTTTTCACAGTTAGCCTAAGCTCGACGTGTTCGACGTGTATTCTCTGTATCCAGTTGTTTTTTCACAGTTAGCCTAAGCTCGACGTGTTCGACGTGTATTCTCTGTATCCAGTTGTTTTTTCACAGTTAGCCTAAGCTCGACGTGTTCGACGTGTATTCTCTGTATCCAGTTGTTTTTTCACAGTTAGCCTAAGCTCGACGTGTTCGACAGATGCACAGTTAGCTTTCTTATTTCTAAGTTAATTCAGGAAAATTGTTTGGTTTTTAAACACAAGAGTTATTTTTATTTCTACTGTTGCTTAAAGTTACCGTGCACCTTCAGGGGTGTCTCGCGTGCAAGCGATGTAGCGCGTCCGGTTTAAACTGTAGATATCTAAACCCCTATATCAAATTAAAAGTTTTTCACGACTTCTAAATGCGAGCGCCCGAATCACCCTTTAAGAGCTACAAGTCAAAGGGGATTTGTTCGATTGCTCTCAAATTTTGACAGTAGCTAGTTTTACATATAAACAACAAGGACGTGTCTCCGAATTTTTTATTTCTAAATACTTCTTTTTCAGAGCGATTTTTATACGATCACTCCACATGTTTTTAATCCTATTTCAAAAATGTTCTGTAACTTTACACTGAAATCGAATATGGCAAATCGCAGACATGTTTTTTTAGCGCTCTGGCCCCGGAAACGGAGGAACACATTAAATAAGCGAAAAACAAAATTCGCTTTGAGATGTAACGTTCAAAAGGTTATTCGGGCGCTCGCATTCTGAGAGGTGAAAAATTCGAAATTAATTTTTTTTCAGAATTTTTGGTATAGTCTGATAGCCGGTCCTTTAAGCTTTATTTGATACCGGGGTTTAGACATCTATAGTTTAAACCGGACGCGCTACATCGCTTGCGCGCGAGACACCCCTGAAGGTGCACGGTAACCTTAATAACGGTATCATACACTTATACTCAAACATCGAGCTTGGGCTACCTGTGGTTTTTATGAGGATATTAAAGGATTCTGAGTGAGAAATCTTAAACCAGCTCTATTGAGGGTAAGATGAGTTAGGTCCCTGTGGAATTGACTGGACTTTTTCTCCTTTGATAGAGCAGAGTTCATGTGCGTGCGCAGATGGGGCGTCGCCGACTGTGTTCTCTCAGTTGTTATTACACCTGAGTTTCCTGCCTGCACTGTAGTAGAGTGGGATTAATCCAGAAATAAAATCGTTAACCTACGAAAATGTGAATTTGTGGTTGTTAAATGTTTGAGAAAGCAATGTCAGATGTATTCGTCTACTTCTTAAAGAAAAAAAATCTAAGATTAAAAATAGGCAGCTCAGACAGCATGTGGCTCCCAGTGCCGCATCCCACATTTTATGAGAATCCCTTTCTCCAAGAGAAAGATGATTAAGAATATAGTGATTGACACTTAACCAATAATTAGATGGTAACAAATAATCATATTAACAATAATAATAATAATAATAATAATAACTTGATAATGATAACAATAGTAATATGTTAAAGGTCTAGCTGAAGAACCTCACCGTTCCTCCATCGCTCTATCCCCCAATAATGATTAAACAGGCTTCTTTTAATTTTAATTTTTCTTGTTTATTATATATAAATTTCTTTTTAATTGCAATTCCATTACTGAGACTTTTGTTACACACAACAAGGCACGTTTTAGGATATTTCGCTGTTCAACCATTCTATCATTCCATCGAAGAGGGTCACCTATCACACTCAAGGTGGTTGTGGGCTAAGAGCTCGTTCGCATTCTATTGTTACACTCATATTATGCCCCTCAACAGGGCAAGATTATGGCTTTGCCTCCTATGGAGACAGTAGCCATAAAAAGACGACAAACGAAAACCCAAGTACATCACATTTCCGCCCAATAGGTTACTAATAAACGAATTGAAAAGTTACGACAACGTGAGAACAACCTTTGTGTAAGTCTATATTTCATTTGGCGAGAAGGTTCACGGGATGGAAGTGTTAACTGACCTAAATACTAAAGGACTCTTTGTAAGTTCTAAGTGCGACATTTTTTTTGCTGTTTTTTTTTTTTTTCTTCTTTTTTTCTCTTTGCGTGTTTGGAGTCCATTTATTTAAGTCCTTTCGCTCTGCAATCATACTTGTTTCATTAGCGCTTTTCTTGTCTTTCCGCCTTATGTCGCTCTGTGCTGCCTGCATAATTTATCATGTAATATAACCCTTTCCTTTTTTTTCGCTAAGAGCACTTTTTAAAATAATGTTTCTGTGGCCGTAACAATGTAGGTATTTTATAGCCTCGTTGTTCGCTATTCTTTCAAGGTTGTATATTGTGTAACTAGTGTAACCGTTTGTTATTTTCTTTAGTTTCAACCAACGTCAGTCAGAGTATTAAAGAATATCATGTTTGTATAAAGACGTGGAGTTGTCAATATCCCTACCACAGATTCCGCCTAAGTGCTACACTCTTTTTTCCATGCGAGCAAGCGTTGCTGTTAAAGCGTCTTCGGACTGGGTGTTGGGAAAACAACCATTAAAATGAGAACTGTTATTTGAAACAAAAGTTAGGAAGAGGTTTTTAACGAGCCAACTGGACCACACGTGAACGGATTTAAGCGAGAAACACGCGAGTAAACCGGGAGCGACCTTGTCGTGATTGCTTTAGTTTGGTACGTATCTGATTCAGAGAGAAGGTGTTTCGGGTTTCTCGACCAATCAGAGAGAAGGTGGTTTGGGTTTCTCGACCTATCAAAAAGCAAGGTAAAAGAAATTGACGCAAAACTGAACTTCTTTGGCCAATTATTCTCGAACAGTTCATCTATTTCACGAAATATAACATTACCCCGGAATCCCAAGCCTTTGTTGTTTCGATCCAGTGTCGCTGAGTCAACGAAACTCTAAAAACACGTAGTAGGGAATCAACAAATAAATCCTGAGACTTGATTTGAATGTTCGTTGGATTTTAATAGCTGTGCTTTTTGCCATTACCGCTACTCTAAGATATGCGCTTTAGAGACTTTCGTCAAAATGTCCCTTTCTTTGGAGTTGCAAACTTTCTTTAATTTATCTTAGTCGTCTTTTGAGTGTTTGGGTATTTTGAACCCTTATGTTCCCAATCGCGAGAGTTAAAGCTATCTGCAGCTATGCAAAAGTAGAAGTGCTAAATTAATCTAAATCGTTGAATTACCAAAACTACTGTACTAATGTTTATAACGCTAACATAAATTCTTAGCAAACTTCACTATGCAAGTTTGTTTTCTTTCACATTTAGCCATGTCCGTTCCGTGTTAAACCGTGATTACGTTTTATTACTTAGATAGCTATCGTAGGTGAATACTGATATCTACGTAGACAAGCTTAATCTAACACATTAAATAAGGAATTTAAGACATCGCTTTCAGCAGTAGGTACAGCGCGGTGCTGGTGATGGAGTCTTGAACAGGTGCTCAGCGGTAAATACGGCGATTTAACGCCCTGAAAAAAAAACAGACACAGAAAACAACATTTAGTAAAAATAGTGGCACATTCCTTTGAAACTCGAAAGAGTGGGAACACCAGAAATATTTATGGAACGTGATTGAATTCCACTAGACAGTGCACTTATCACTTGCCAGAATCGTAAACGTGTTCAAAGTTTTCCAAGTCTCACAACTAAACAAATCCTAATGGGTCACTAGATTTAGTAATCACGATTCCTTTCTCAGCGATATCAGCAGGGAGACGAGGTGACGGGTGAACAGACGGTCATACTAAAAGACAGACAGGTAGACTGACAGACTGACAAAATGAAGACCGCACGGACGCACGCACAGTCATACAAAGAGACTGACGGACTATAGTTATACAGACAGACAGACTGACAAAATGAAGACCGGATGGACGCACGGAGGGGGAGGGGGGGGGGGAAATTCCTGAGCTGGACTAACATTCCTCTCAGGAGCAGAAAACATACTTTGGTTGCTTCGGCTACAGAAACCGGATATAAGCACCAGCAGCTAAAGGCCACGCGGTCATTTGACTGAAACTAACGTTGAATGAAGCATAGAAGACTTGGTTCTTACCTTGGCAAATCCTCTGCCTAAAAATTCTTGCTTGGCCTGGATTCTGTAATTCTTCGAAGGACTCTATGAGGTAAACATAGTTATTTTGTCCAGCGATCTCCAAAAGTTCTCGGGTATCCACAGCATTCCTATTGCCAACTCCAATAGCAACCAGTTGAACTCCCTTTCTCCTCAAAGGATCTGCAGCTCTTCTTAGGGGGGTGTAGGATCCCGTCTTAGTTTGTTTACCGTCCGTTATGACAAAAGCCATCTGTAAAGAAAAGGGGAAAGAAGTGTAAAGAATAATGACAAGAAAAGATTGTCGTTTGTCCAATGGTTCACGACACTTTAGATGCACAGCTTCATAGTATATAAGTGACTTAGCTTTATGGATTCTGTGCCTAATAAAGTATCTATGTATCTATTTAGACTGCATCAATACTGCTAGATGAGCTATGAGATTGACTGTTTTGGCATCCCCTTATGTAGCAAGTTATTTAATCGTGATTTATTTGTTTGTTACAGTTGTGATTTTCGCATTTTCTTTGTTGGAGAGGATTCTAGCGAAAGAGCTCAAGCTGCAAAGGCCGAACCGAAACGATCCAAGATTACTTTCAACACCTAGTTGAAGATGGGGAGATTTCACGACGGTGACGCCCAAGAAAAAGTCACTGAAAAAAAAATTTTCTATTTCATCAAATAATTTTTGCAAGTTACTCGATCATAGGGATCATGTATATACCCTTTTTGACAGCACCATATCTCTCCCCCTCGTCGTGACACGTGTCCGTAGCGTTGAATTTGAAGTGAACATAATTTGCCGTTAGGATAACACTCATCAAACTACGCAAAATTTGGCGATTTACATTAATGTTATCCAGAGGACAGGTAAGAAATGTATAACCAATGAAAACACAAGTGCAGCGTTAATGTTCTGCTCATTTATCTTTTATGCTGGTACTTCAGTTGACGGTTATCCTTTCCTTCAGCGTTAAGTCCCTAATTGCTACAAAGGAACAGAAACCAAATAAACACCTTGGGTACGTTTGTTCTCATGCCTCGCCCTGTGGTAAATACGTTTACGGCTGCATCTAAAGCCTTGTCAATGTAAGTTTTTCCTCGTTGCCACTGCAAACCGTCCAAAACATTGTTGACCCCTGCCACGCTGAGACTACTTCCTTGGAGAGTGTCGAAACGCAAGATGGTTTGGGGATTATTGCTGTAAGTGATCACAGCAACATGGGTGGTGGACATTCCTATGTCCAGTTTGTTGACCATTCTTTTCAGGAATCGTTTTGTTCGTTCCCAGTTCGTCTTACCAATGCTTCCAGAAGAGTCCACTATAAAGGCGATGTCTGCGGCTTTTCTGCAGTCGGGCACTATGAAATGTGCAAACCACGAGTAAAAACGTATTTTACATTCTCTTATGGCTTTTAGATTTAAGCTCCAAAGTTCAAAAGGGAGCACTCCCCTACCCTTTAATCTAGAATACCAGACTGAAAAAATATACAACTCAGCCACCTTCACTACTCAAAGATTCAATTATCGCATACCAGCGTTAGAGAAGACTCAAAGAAATGTAATATATTATACAACATTTTACAGAAGTTTAGAAAAGTAGCTAATGAACTCCCAACCCATTTCACGTCAAAAAGAGAAAGATGTTTTCTAAGGGAACATACACAAGGGAACCATTATTGATACGCCAGATCCTATATGGAAGCTAACATCTTCAGGCGGCACTAAATCGCCTTGCAGTTTCAATATCCTAGCATATTCAGGGCTAAAAGTCAACGCGGTCGTATTAGATTCACCATTAACTCCAGATGTGATCATCTTCTCACGTAAGTATACAATATAAATCAAGAAAAAGGAAAAAACGAACTCAACAGGTGGATGACGCCATCTACAAAGGAGCTGTAAAACGGCTGGTATAAGCTGGAATTGAAATTCAGATCGCGAAAGCTCAA